AATTGTTTCTTCACTGGACCAGGGGTACCGCTGATAAATGGAAATCCTTTGTTTCTAATCGTGTACGTGAAATACAAGATGTTGTATCACCTTCGCAATGGAAATAAACTTTGGTTCAATGGACCAGTGTGGTTAAGAGAAAAATCTACCTTCATCATCTTTTGATCTTTTGATTGAGCCTATGATAGAAGAGGTACAAGTAGGACAGCGTCAAACTACTGTATGTTCTGTTGTAAGCCAAGAGGCTGAATTTGAATTGACATACAGATTTTCATCCTGGAAAAAAAAAAGAAACTGAAACGCGTAACTGCATGGTGTTTAAGATTCTGCAACTATATTAAACCTACATCTTTAAAACTCAAGGGTTTTTTAACAATTCCAAGAGTTGGATAAGGCAAGCAATTTGATTTGATTTTCAAAATCATACAAAATTCCGAATTTAGAGAAGAAGAAATTAGACTTTTGAAAGCAGGGAAGAAATATTGAATCTCAGCAGTAAAATCCTGAAATTAAATCCTTTCCTTGATAGAGAAAAAATCCTTAGAGTCGGTGGTAGACTCTGTAACTCGAATCTTTCAGAAAACACAAAGTATCCAATCATTCTTCCCAAAAGAGTCACCAAGGTAATGCTGAATTTGATAGTCAAACACTTTCATAAATTGAACCTTCACAAAGGAGCCACATTAACATTATCTGCTCTGCGACAGAAATATTAGATCGTTAACGGCCGAGAAATTGCAAGAAAAATAATTTGGAAATGTTATAAAATGTTTTAAAAATCAAACAAGCACATCCAGTCAGATAACGGGCGACCTACCAGCTTCTCGCATATTGCCAGATAGAACATTCTCGAATACAGGACTGGATTTTGCATGACCCTTCCTAATTAAAGCTAGGAAGCTAGGAATGGAAGATGAGGAAATGATATATAAATGTTACGTTTGCCTTTTACATATGTTTCACCACAAAGGCCATTCACCTAGAAGTAGTCAGTGATCTAACAACTAAAGCATTCCTAGCATCTCTGAAAAGACTTTTGTCACGCAGAGGAAAACCCAAGAAAATCTTTTCCGATAGAGGAGCCAACTTTGTTGGGGCTGATCGAGAATTAAGAAGATACAAAGCTACACTTTTCTCTGAAGAAGCATTTCAAAACTACCTGAGCGGTGAAAATATTCAATGGATCTTCAATCCTCCTGCTGCCCCTCACTTTGGAGGCCTTTGGGAGGCTGGAGTGAAACAAATGAAGATTCACTTAAAGCGAACTATTGGGACCCAGGTTCTCTGACATACGAAGAATTTCCCACCTTAATTACCCAAATCGAGGCGTGTTTGAATTCCAGGCCAATAGTTCCATCTCATCTGACCCTGAAGATTTTAATCCTTTAACACCTGGACATTTCCTAATTGGGTCTACATTAACAGCAATTCCTGAACCTGATCTTACAAATAATAAGCTAACCCCTGCTGAAAGATGGAAATTGACACAGCAAATTTTCCAGAGCTTTTGGAAACGTTGGTCTAGAGATTATCTTTCACAATTACAAGGGTGTACCAAATGGTTCAGGGATAAACTAAATTTAGCCCTCAATGACTTAGTCTTGATAACGGACGAAAATTTGCCTTCATTAAAGTGGCGACTTGGACGAGTAATTGAACTATATCCTGGTGCTGATGAAAAAAGTTCGTGTTGTGAAACTAAAAAACTTTATTGGGCGAAATGAAGCGTCCTATACATAAAAACTTTCCGCTTACCATTGAGTGAATAAGACTAAAAAAAAAAAAACATTAATTGTATATTCATAATTTGTGTCTTTATTATTATTAATTCAATTATGTTTCAGATTCAGAGAATGGACCCACAATTGTGTGGATTATGGTAATTTAGCAGTTTCATAATTTTGTTTCCTTCTAGAGACTGTAAGTATGTTTTATTTGTAAAATTTTGTGCTAAATTTAATGTTGTTATTCAATTTAAATTTGTCATTAATCATTTTAATTTTATATGATATACTGTTGAATGTTTGGGAAACTTGTTTAAATTTAAAATTGAAGATCTTTATAACAATGTTGTAATGAACCAATGTTCATCGGGGCGGAGTATGTTCCGTCTTTTCGGTAGATAGGTGACGCTCTTGATGCGCGACGATAAAAAAATATTCCACTTGACGCTTGAACATGAAGAACGACGCATGTCATTATTTGATGCTTGACCATCATCACCGCTATAGGAAGTAATATAAGTTTATTGTTAATAAATGTTATTTCTATGTTCTGTGAAATCTTGAAGTTTTGATTTGAAATTCTAATGCTCGCCCAACCTTGACTCCTAAAAGGAAACGATCTTTGAAATTATGACTCATGAAAAGAGACACCAACGATATATAGTTCAGCGTTCTCATGAAGTTCCAATCAAAACAGTTTTCAACGGACTACCAGTACCTTTGAAAAGGACTTTACGCAAGACTAGCAGAATTTAAAATTGTCTGTTTTCAAGGTGAAGCAATTTTATAAAAGGAAATAAGGCACAATAGACAAATTTCTCATAGTCTTAAGGGAAGTTGCTCGAAACGATGAAAGACTGATAACTTACGAAGTTAAAACTCTCTCTGCACTGCAAATTCGTATTTGTAAATTCAAGTCCGGTAGACATCCAAGGATATGCTTCAGATGCCAATACTTCGGACACTACCAGTTTGGTTATTTTAAAGAACCCCGTTCCCTCAAGTGAACGAAGCTACATTTAACTTACATTTTTAAATTTCAGAAAGCAAGTGAACGAAGCTACATTTAACTTACTTTTAAATTTCAGAAAGAAAAGAAAGCAATCTGTCTGAAATGCCAAATAAACCACTGGAAGGCAAAAATTTGCCTTAAATTTCCGAAATTCAAGAAATAGAGAAGGAGAAATTTTACAGAGAAATAAGAAATTTCATTAACCAAATTTTAAGAAAGAAGTAGAAAAGAAACTCATTCAAGAATATAAGAAACAACTTACCTCGATACTAGGAGACATAAAACAAAATTTTCTTTAAAAACTTCCATTATCTTCCCACGAGATTAAGAAGGAAGTTGGGAGAAATCAAAGAGTGGTGTAGAAGTTATTGAAATACCACTAGAAATGGTGTATTGTATAGTGACACTTGTTAGACAACTGAACATATTTATGAAATGATTTCTCATTGTGAGACTTTGTCTTTGATTTCTCATTTGAGACAAAGTCTCACCTTTTTCACCCTGCCTCAAATTTCCCTCCTTGGGACTCTACTTCCAAGACTTTAATGCGATACACTTTTTTGAGTTAATTCAGCATAGCTTTGACAACTATGCTATAGCTATGAAAGCATTTAGCATTAAAGCATTATAGCATAACTACAGCATAATTGCAAAAACGGGATTTCTTAGTTTCTTGAGAAAGCTGTACTCGCCGAAACCATTGCCGTCGTGGGAGCTAATTATGGAAGCGATACTCGGAATAGTGTTGCAATGATGTTTGCTTGATGATTTATTGTAAATTGTTTTTCGCATGTATTTAGCAAGAAATAAAGGTTTTCATCGCTTTGCACTCCTGATTTTAGTAATTGTGATATTACATATTGAAAACTAAAATTCAGTAAAATGTGAAGAGATCAATAAAAAGTGGAAGAAAAGTTCGCTGGTGTAAAACTCAAAATTAGTCTCAAGACAACAAACTTATTTTGGCTTAAATTTTTAAAACTATCGATCTTGAGGGCGATGAAACAAGCTCCTCTTCTTCAGCAACAAAAACGGAATTATGCCGCTATAGCCAGGATAAAGGAGCCGTTTCGCCTAATTTTGAGACAAAAAAAATTATTTATTATTGAATTAATGGTAAATAGGATTAAATAAAATACAAGGACTCGTTTCATTTGGAGCTCTGGATGAAATAACAATTTCACTCATAAACTAAGAAATAGCTAGAAACCAAGAAATAACTGGAAATAGAAAGTCGGGTACCGGCTGAATTTAGTCTCTGAATATACAATATAATGTAGGAAGATCTTCAAGGATGATTGGAACAAAGACCATTCTTTTTCTAGCAAACCAATGAAAAAGTTAAAATATTTATAACTTTGCTAATGAAAATAAACAGAATGCTATGAACAGTAGAAAAGTATGGAGGAATTTTGACAGATGATATGCAAGTATGAGAACAAAGAGTCCAACACGCTCTGAACACAGTCTTCTGCCGGTATAATTCTAGCCGTCAAGCAAAATGTGATAGGGAAAGATTAGTTGAGAAGAAAGGTAGACAGTTTTTGCACACATACTTTTTTTATTTCGCGCTGAAAAGGTTATCTTTCCGAGACAAGTCATTAGTGTTGGATACGTACGGTCAACGTAATAACTTATGGTCATGGCCATATTTAAAGGGAAGCTGAAGCCCCTCCAGTATTTAAATCCCAGCTACAGAACTAGTTGTAGTATTTTCGGGAGCAAAAAATTTACCCGCTTTCAAAAGTTCATTGCATTTTTTCCAAAAAAGCCTTCGGCATGTGGGTGGGGGCTTTTCCTTAAATCTCAAATTGTGTTCACGCTTTGGGTCCGAGAGAAAGACAAGTGGGCATCCAGAAGTCAGAATCGATTTTAAAAGCTTACTTATTGGTAAATTTTTCAAATTAAGATTTTATCTTATCAAGATAAGATAAATTTTGATAATTAAAAATTATCAAAATTTTGAGCATAAAAATTTGAGCTTATTCGTACCAGAAGGTACGAAGCCAAATTATTTTATACACCGCGCAAGTTGATGACATGAGAGGTTCTTAATCACCATATTAAAGTTTGTAAAGAATTTGCTTATCGTACACAGTGTGTTTTTATTTGTTTATTTTCACAAACTGAGAATTTAATGCTCAACTTGCATATAACATGGTGCTTATGTTTGATGCAATAATTTGTGGGCATGATCAGGAAATATAACACCCTAAAAGAAGTCTTAAGTCATAAAAGAAATGCAATAATAAAAGACACTCATGAACGTTGCAAAATAATTTAATTTGAACAGCGACTTCATTTCAGCTTATGGCACCGAACTATAGAAATGATTTATGTATTATCTCGATGCATTGCGACATTTCCTGCCGGGAAATTACAAGAGGTGGAGCTAACCGAATTATTTTTTCGTGGGTTGGCTTAGCTAGAAGTCCATTTTCTTTTAACCGAAGACAAACATTCCAGGCATCATACTCTGAAAGAAAAATGTGCTATACTTAAAATCCGAACAAAAAATGCGAATTACTTATAAACAAATAAAATATGAATTACGTAAAAAATAAAAAGTGAATTACTTATAAACAAATTAAAAATGTTTATTACTCATAAATAAATCAAAAGCAAGTTCCATAAGAATGATTAAATTTCATTTATTTTAGACAGAATAAATATAGAAGCTGGATATACAAGCATTTTAAGGCAAAAATAAAGTGCGGATTTTCTTTATAAGTTTCTAGATTTCTATAAAACGTGCAAATGCTATGTCTTAAGAAAACAAAGATGCATTCTTTAGTAGCGGAAATAAATTTATTAGTCTACTTCCTTCTCTTGATCCTATTCATAATTGAGTCTCGCCTTTTTTCTTACGTTTCTGATGTTAGATTACTGTAATTTTCATTTCAAGAACGGTGTAAAACGATATAACTTTCACACAGGGCTGTGGAGTCGCAGTCATGGAGTCGGAATCGGGCACATTTTGGGGTAAAAGGAGTCGGAGGTGAAGTCGCTAAAAACAGGTCGACTCCGGTTTTTATTGGACAGTTTGAATTTGAAATGAAATTAAAATGAATTGAAAAAAAATGACAAGCTGAGTTATTTTTATTTATGGACTACATACATTAATAAATAGTTATTTTCTATTTTATTGACATATTAATAAATAAACATATGGAGGAGGATGGATGTGATATTTGCCATTAATAATTAAACTGATTCATTTAGTTACTTCATTTAGTTACAAATCTGACTGGTAAATTTTAGGTAAGCAGCAATAGCAGCAAGAACTTCCAAAATTGATGCCATTCTTAAGAAACGAGCAGGAAAAGGAGCAATAATTGATCAAGCAGGCGATAAGGAAGTACATATTTGATGATAAAGAGGTTTTTAGAAAAATAAGAACTTTTCTAGAAGATGTAGATAACATTAATGTTTCACCAACAGAAACACTGTGGAATGATCTTGTAGAATTGAAACTCTTCTTTCTACACCGTGTATAGCCACAAAAAAGTTGCACTCTGAAGAATTGACAGGAGACGAAAATGGAAGAATGGAATGTTTGTTCTCTCTGAAATGGAGGGTTTATTGCAGAAGGAATCATTTCTTCAATGAAGGAAAGAGAAACTAGTTTGCTAGACAATGAGATCTTGCTGGATTCAATATATGTAGATCCAAAATACCGAATTTTCTTGGATGACGAACAAATTAAAAAGGCAAATAAAGCCATCTATGAATTTTCATTAAGAATGAAATTATTCCCAGAATTCCCATCAGGACAGTCAAACTGCAAACATTGCAATTGAGTCTCTATCATCTTCTTCCAGTGATGAATTAGGGCTTGAGAAATATTTTTGGATAGTTAAAAGAGTAACAGCTCTTCTTCTTACTTAAGTTAGTATGGAAAGACTTTTCTCAGCTCTGAAGTTTATCAAATCGGATCTATGGCCCTCCAACAAAGATCTTGCCAAAGCTATACTATTTCTTAGAAATAACTAATGCCAGTTTTTATATTTCATAATAAATACTAATTAATATAAATAATTTGCTATGCCATCATTTTTTTCCTGTAGCACCTATTACTTCTTTCATATAAAAAATAAGTTGTAACCCATGTGTATATGTTTACATACATATATGTATATATTTGAGGGAGTCTGAGTCTTTAAAATTCCAGGAGTCGGAGTCTGTCATTTCCCTCCCGACTCCACAGCCCTGCTTTCACAACCCTCATGGCAATACTAGTATCGGTTTCAGGCTCATCTACTGATACTTTTAAGCTAGATTGTAATATGTTCAATCATATCTAATTCTTTTCTCAGTAAACGTTTCTTTCAGAGAATATTGCTCAAAGCCAGTTTAAAGACACAAATTTTAGATCTGTTTTAGAATAATTATTTTATTACTAAATGGTTGTACGCGGTTAATTAGAGTTTTGAACATATGTCAGCAGCGTTTATAACTTCTAATTAAAATATTTCATTCCTTATGTAACATATCTGGATTGTACTCGGTAATTTAATTCAACATAGTTCAATTAGAGATAATTTTAAACACTTACCTAATTCAAGGTTAGTAAAACAAGATTGAACTTTGTGAGAACAAAGAAGGCAAATAAAAATTCACAATTTTCAAATGATCCAATTACTTTACGCTTATCTTGGAAAAGAAAATATACACTCATGTAGGGCTACCACCCCCGATTAAATTTATTTCATAGGTCTGTAACATCTTTACGAGATATTAAAAAGTTGAATAGATTCTTTTTGCATCAGTGACGGGGATTTTAATCAATATACATATTTTATGAAGATGTTGTGAAAGATCAAACAATGCATTACGAGAAATTCTCCTTTTTTATTCATTTCAGAAATTAATCTTTGATGTGCATTTGTCACTGGTGAACTGAACTTTCTTATAATGTAATTTATGAGTAAAATATTTTTTCTAAAATGAAGAGAATATATATGTTTTGTAGTTTACAAGAATTTTAGATGCTGTTATATTCTTAGCCATACACAGAGATACATAGCTTTGAATAAGATTCATACTTAAAAAGTTCGATCCATACTTACTTTCGCTTATGACTATTGCATTTAAGAGGCCCTTTCCCCTCACAGATTCAACGATGTCCTTTGGTAACCGATTCAGCTCATCTCTCAAAAATTTTCCCATTTCTTCTGAGTTTTGAGCTAATTTTTCCTCCTCGAGCACCTGAAAAAATGTCATATTCCAATTGTAGACATGTAATAAAGTCAGATTTTTAAATCTGAGCAAACTTTAAAGAATGGTGTCAACTTAAAAAGAAAAGACAGATTTCAAGAGATAATCTAAATATAGATTTCTTATTCTAATAGAAGCAAAAATATTCTGCACTGTGTTTTTATAAGATCTATGCAATATAATAGATATAAATATTGGCCATTATAACTTTCAAACTGGTGTTTTCTTCGAACATTTACTTCAAATATAGGATTATTTGGTTCACAATTTGCCCATTGGATGTCACCAGTAGTTGTCTTACAAATCAATACGATCGAATAAGGATTTCGCTTTCCATTCAACAGCAGAAAGGGATTGGAAGTTGCTGCATTTGATCCAAACCTTAAAATTTTTTATCAAGAAATAACAGCAGATGTGGAATTATTAAAAGGAAACTATGGAGTAAATAGTGAAAGAAAAAATGCAATTGAAAATCCAAACACTTCCAAATTATTAAGTAAAATTTTAATAAATTATATGTCGAAATATTTTTATGTAATAATATAATCATGAGAAGCCTACATAATTTAAAACCGATCTATAAATATTTTTTTGATAACTATAACGTAAGCTTTCCATTTCCATAATTAAAACTTTACCAACTTTTAGGAAAAATAAAATCTGCCGTCTCTTGCGCATAAGACCCTTCTCTTGTCAATGTTCGAAAAAATAACTACTATATAAGTACTTCTAATGCCAAGAAGAGTCTAGAAGTTTCTACATCCAACATAAATGAAAAAAATTTTAAATTTTTGGAGAATTGTTTCTTACCCTCAGATTTATACGATCTTTGTTATCCATAAAATTCTACCTTTCTTGGTGTGAAATACGAGGGTCATACCAAAAGTAATGCAAAAAGTCGGTCTAAGTTTTTGGGTAACTGACATGGATCATCCAAATTCCACACATTATCACAGTTACTCTTCATCTATGTAAGAATACTTGCAAAATGAAAATTTTCACAGAATATGAAAAATAATCATTATTCACAACGTACTACTGACGAATTCCTGACAAAAAATGGATACAACCTGTCTGGTATTTATGAAGGTTACAAAACGCTTGTAAAGATGATAGCATTGACAAGAGCAGTGTGCATACATGAATGAAAAAGTTTAAAGAATGGGAAATCAGCATTAAAAACAAACCACAATGGATGACTATCATCTGCAACCAGGAACACTACTCTTCAATAGATCATGATGATTTACTATTCTATAATAACAATGACTATTTTAACTGTGACCTTTCTTCACAACGTGACTGTGGTCACAATACAATCTGAAAAGTAATGGAAGTCGTAAGACTACCATAAAACGGTTACAGCCGAAAACATCGTGGAGAAAGCAACGCAAGACTACCACGTCGTGGTACAAAACATAGTGGGAGAAAAGAAAGCAAAGAGAACATCGTGGTCGAAAATAATGCGGTTCAAAAACGTCGTCGAAAATGTCGTGGTAAAAAATAAAGTACTTACCAAGTGATCGCATGACGATAACATCGCACACATGCGTTTTTCAAATCCCATACTGACATATTATGTAACTGACTTTCGTCATTAACTAACAAATCGACATCCAAAAAATTGATTGCACGCTATACATGAAGATGTTAATGACACTTTAAGAATAAACGGAAACAAAATAAAACTTTCTTTAAAACAATATCATATTAACAAATGTGAAAGTAAATAATTTAATAATTCACTAAGCAATTTTTATAGAGGTAACCTCATACAGTTATTTATCTTTCTTTTTCTAAGCATTTTTAAACTATTTTTCATAAAAAATATCAGTAAGATGCTATAAAAAAGGTTAATTTATTATTAATTATTATTATTAATCCGCACGGAAGCTTGTGGTTCCTTTTTGGTATGACAAGGGCATTATTCTCCTCGATTTTCTTCAAGAATGATCATGCTGTGAATAACAAGCGATATAAATTCAACAAAACTTTGAGAACTATTACGAAAAAGACCCCAACCTGAACAAAACCTGGAATATTATCCATAAGCATCACCATAATGCACACCCTCATACATCTTGGCAATACTCATGCAATCTGTAAACTGGATTTGACACTTTTGTCAACTACTGCACAAGCCTTCCAAAACTATTTTAGTGTCGCAGGATTTGTAATTCTTCGATCTAATGAAAGACAGTCTATAGGAACAATGATTTTCGGACGTAAATAAAGTACAAATGGATGTAAATAAAGTACAAATGGATGTAAAGAAATATTAAAACAGTGAACATCTGAGTTTAAAGAGGATTCGAGAAGTGGGATCAAAAAATGGTTCGAATGATTTGGTTCATTATTTGAACATGGAAAAGTGCAAAGGGGCTATCTACCTATGCAGAGGGAAGCCTTTCGTGGAGGACTATCTAAGGAAACTGGTTCTAACTCACATTACACATAGGAAGCCAGCCTGTTCACCTGGGTTTGAACCTAAGACTACCAGTATTTAAAGATCTTTAACCATTCGTTAACTGGCGGGGTAGATGGCGCAAATGCATTGCTTATAAAGAATACTGTTCAGTCACATATTTAAGCAGAGGAAGTGTCACTCCAAAAATATATGGAGTTTGTACATTCATCATTCTCAAATTACTTAGTAATAACATTATGCAAAGCAATCATAATAAAGCATTTTACGAAGCAAACGTAATAACAACATTATATGAGCCTCATAATAACATTTCATCATTCTCACCATTAGCAGGATAAACATATCATAGAACTTTTCAACAGGGAACTTTCAACAGGAACTCTTCAAAAGTTGTAGAACTCTTTCAAGAGGAAACTTAGGCATCTTTTGGCATTTACCCTTCAACATGACAGAGAACAGATATGATAATTTTCATATTGTTGGAGGCCGAATTACTTTGGATTATCCGATACTGAATAAACAAAATGCCGCTGACACAGTGGATAGTATGGCCTGGATAGCCCGATATCGAAAAACACATTCTGCGAATGGAAAGTTTGAAGCAAAGCTCATACCCCTATTTCATCATAGCCAGTAAATTGTAAAAATGATACTAACCTGCTGCAGGTCCTCTTCAGGAAATTTTTGGGTTTAATCATGAAAATCGAGTCCGCTCTGATAGAACTAGTACAGTCAACTTTGAATTAGGTTACAAGACTGACAAAATAGCTTACCTTCAAAGCTGCAATTGCCACTTTAGAAGCAAGTGGATTACCACCGTAAGTGGATCCATGTTCTCCAGGCCTAATGACAAGCATCACAGGATTATTCGCTAGTACTGCAGACACCTGTAATACGAAATAGAAGTTCAGGAAGTTAAATGATCAAGGTCCCTAAAAGTACACAAGGATGTGTGCTCAAAGAGACTCAGATTTTACCGAAATTATTTTCATCTATATGTTAGAGTATGATGAGTGGTATGACTAATATGGAATTAAGGTAAAGACGAAATTCGACAGGTAGCTCATGGCAAGTTCAACTTTAAGTTCTTTTGTTGTTTTTCTTAAAGTGCTGATTCCTTGGGACGTGCAGTAACATTTCATTAGGTGCACTTTGAGGCCTAAAGTCTGCTTGTACTTCCTAACACTCTGTGTATTATAGTTGAGGATCCTACGTGCGCATAACAACAACTATCGGTCATCAGCACTCGTCCTTGGCTGAACCTCCAGGATGACGAATGTGTGGTTAGAAATTGTTGCCAAAGTCTATGAACCACAGACGGACTCACAGTTAGCCATACGGCCATTTCTGTCTGATTTTGTCCTGCCTCTAGTCTCCCAGTAGTTCTCTATAGCAGTTCTTCGGGCAAATGATGCCTGGAGGTCATTTTTAGAAACTGGCTATCCCAGATTTCTTATCTCAGTATCGCAGCGCTTCCTTTGGAACATCAAATTTTATACTCCTCGCAGAATGATTTATTTCGATTGCAGCGTCACTTATTTGCATATCGCAGTTTTACTCAACAATTGCTACTTCCCAACATGTTCAAATTTTATAAGGATTGGCTTATTTTTGAACGAGTTATCGCTATTTTGTGATTTTTTCTTAATTTTTGGAAATCAATGTATTTATTTTTACAGCTCTAAAACTACATAATTAATAACATCTATTGATCCAACTAAATTACAATATTCTATGAGAAATGTATTTTCTTACCGGATACACACCTCCAGAAAGTGCTTTACCCAACAACAAAATATCTGGTTTTACGTTTTCATGATCAACGCACAGCCATCTGAAATAAAGGTATTTAAAATCAACTCCAATGTCATAAGAAACTAGAGTAGAAAAAAATTCAAAATTAACGTATTTGTACATTTAAGAATACAAGCAAAGAATTTACAATAAAATTTCAAGTAAAAACAAAATCGGAAGCATTAAAAAATGAAAATTCTAAATACGGGTTTCAAAATAAATTTAGAACAAAGGAATCAATTTTATTAGTTTAGACATTTAAAAGAAGTAAACTAATTACGCAATGAAGATACTGCAGTGATTTTATATGCCAAAAAGGATTCGGATTTCTTTCCCTTTCGGCTTGGAACATGCTTTTGGCATAACGGTACAAAGCATGTCACGGCCCCAGATGACCCAGGATCGAGAGGCTTCAACTAATACAATAGATATGAACGCCGACTTTCGCTGATGCCATCTATTAACAAACTTCGCCATTAAGAACTTCAAATAATGTTCTGAAGCCTCTACACAAATAATGTTCCACGGCAACAGCATCAGCGTTTTAAAATAAAACGTTTGTGCTAAGCACAATAAAGTTAATCATTCGGGTGATCTTACTCCCAGAAAAGGACTAATTTGTCTTGGAAAAACATTTTAACTAAAATCTCAAAATGTCGGCCATTCTGACATTTGCATCCATACATGCACTATCGAGTAATCGCCCATCTTAATACCGATTCGGTGCCCGAAGTCTGATAGGTACAGCTTCGCGCAATTTTCTTTATCCATCGGTTGCAAGAGCCCACTAGCAGTCGAACAGTAATATTGCTGAACACTGGTTCTTCGACCCGACCTGAGTTTGAATTTAAGCTAATTGGTTAGCTGCATGGTTGTTTTCGTGATTTTCCTCATGTGTGACGTAGATACCAGCCAGTTTCCCTTAGAAAGTCTTCTATGGAGGCATTCCTTCCCTTAGGAAGATAGTCCTTGTGTAGTTTGCCGTAATGGAATGAAAAAAAGAACCATCGACTGCACGCTAGGATTAATGATTGCTGAGAACATGTTTATTATTCAAAGTTTCTAGAGAACCACAAGCGAAGCCTATCATTTCAGAGCTTGAAGAAAAAATGTAAATCAGGAAGCCTTGTTGTTAACAGTACTGAAGATAGCAACTAATACAGCGATTCATTCAGGAGTATAATGTCATCAAATAATTTGTAAAACACAGTTTGTTAAAAGCTTCCAAGATATCCACGTGTAAACTGTCTGAAATAACGCGACTGCCATTTACATTTGCCAATTAGCTGCGTAAATGAAAATCACATTGAATTACATTTTCTTTTGGAACAAGCATCGTCATATATCTCGAAACTGATTCATTATTGCCAATGATTTAAAGAATTTCTCAGTAAGAATATAGACTTATTGGATATTACGTCACTCACGAGCAACGCCTGGTTCCATCTTTGCTATGTGAAGTCACAATACACGGATACCGCAAGTAAGAATCCTCATGCCATTCTCAACAAAAGAATGCATCTAAAAGACTAGGACACCAGACGCTTTTCATGAAATCAGATTATCAGACCCTTTTCTTTGAACAGGTTGAAACACAGAAATGTTTCTCAGTATTTTAATGTACTCGTAGTTCGCGAACTAACAAGTTGATAAACTAGAGAATGATTTCTTCCAAGAGAGCTTCAAACTTACCACACTTCTAAAGCCAGTATGTTTGAGATTTAACGTCTCTTCGGCTCTCGAAGTGTTACGTCCAAAGGTTTTGTCCGCAGAGTTCTCCAGGTTTACAATTCTTACTTATTCTGGAGGTCACTTGAAAGCATACTGCAATAAGCCTAAGAGTATTTAACAGCTGGAAAACATCACACAGACGGCTGAAGCAATATCGTCATGGTGAATTATAGTCAACTTTTTATTAAATGCAGCAAAGAATTTATCTGTTACGCTACGAATAGGGATTATTTTCAAAAATTTCAATATCGATATGACTGTGAAGACACAAGCGCTTTGCGTCCAAATTTCCGTTTGAAGTCTTTCCCTTTTAAAATTACATCGCTTCTTCTGAGTAAAGTTCTCTGCGAATTACGCTGTACAGCACTAAGAAGATTCAAGTGTAAAATTACATGCAGCAGTTTAAATAAATTTCTGAAATTTATATTTTTTAACATTTTTCCTATGATCGTTTCAAATACATTAAACACAGTTTGTATAAAATTAAGACATTTACTATCCAGAAATTTCCCTGGGTAACTGAGAGACTGGTTCGCATTCACATTACACATGGAGAAAACCACAACCATGCAGCCAGCCCGTTCGTCAGGATTCGAACCCCAGACCAACTACCAATGTTTCAAGAGTCTTTATCGGTCGGCCGCTGGTGGACCTGAAACAACCGCGGGAAATTTGCAAGTGCAAAATTGTAATGAGCGGTGGGAATTTCCAGTCGGAAATATTGTGATAGCTACTATACGAAGTCTGCAGAATAGTAGCATTTTTATGCCTCAAAATTAGGCATGACAAAGTATATAAATTCATAAAAAACACTCATCATCCCAGATCAGTTAACGAATTGCTAAAACAAAAATTTACAGGAAAGAATATTCTTGACAGACCTGAATTATTTCAGCCTTTAAGGTAGATCCAGTTATGCATTAAAAGCCCTTAGGCATTAGAATCAAAGTTTTTTTTTTGTTTGTTTGTTTGTTTTGTTTTGTTTCCTATAAAAGTTGTGATATGGATGTATCTTGATGCAAAATAACTAAACTGGTGATTTGCAAATGATATATTGTTCCGTTCTACGGGTTCGTGGATTTGGAGTGATTGATGACAACACTTGATGAAGAAACAAAACAATTCATTAGTCAGTATTTCACATGACAGTTCCAAAATGATTTACATATATATATCCTAATATACACAGGAGTTTAAATATTTAGCAATGGTTATTGAAATTTTGGTACTCTTCTGTTGTCGGGATCGGATTCAGAAATATACGTATGCATGTATGGATGAATGGATGGATGTGTTCATGCATGCAATATATGCATATGAATGTGTGTATGTATGCACATACAGATAATGAAACTGGCCTGATGCATTGACCGTACATACACGTAGAATGTTGAGTCCGTCATGAAGAGCAAGAATTTTGATTGTGCAGAATGGTTGCACTTAGAAGCAGTGTAACACCAGGGCGCCTGGGTCAAGAACCCTACCCCTTCTTGAACACGTAGGTTGTTTCGAATGCTGTCATGAGTAACTAACATAAGACATAATAATTTTTTTCTATAACTTATGATCACATTTTTAAGTAAATGTATAATATGATATTCTAGCAGAAATAAAGTGTGCGCCCAGTTCCAATAAAGACCTGAAAATGCCATCTGGGAGAGCTGAGAAAGGGGAAAAGAGCTGGCTTTAACCTAAGTGCATAAAATACATACATTCATATATACATACAGTACAGATAGTGTGAGTCAACTGGTGCACTTAAAAATCATAGAATAAGTCATAAAGTACAGTACAAGTAAAGTAAGACAAATTAAACAATATGAGTACTAAGTACTAATATGAGTACTAGGCCGTTTACAATTATTTGGGTGATTTACATTACAATCGTAGACCCTTATAACAGGATTGTTGATACTTGCGAGGTTAGCATAAAAATTCCGGGCAAGCCGGCAATAAAAATATTTCAGTTCAATGCCTAATTCATCACGAAGTTTTTAATTTCGAATGTACCAGGGAGAGTTGGTGATCTGTCTTAGGACACAATTTTGTGTCTGCTGTAACTTTTTCCTATATGATTTGCATGAATATTCCCAAACCGGGCAGGCATAACATAGTATAGGACGCAATACAGTTTTATAAATAAAGCAACTCGTTATCTATTGGAAGAACACCGTTTCGAGAAATTAAGGGGTGAAGTGTAGCTTTACTAACTCGAAACTTTTTAAGGATAGATCTTATGTGTGGATATTGCGCAGAATGCTGATCCAACCATAAATAGGAAACTTGCAGACCAGGCAGATTAAAAACTGGAGTTCTACTGTATATTTATTTTAGACAGATCGCACCATTAGTTTATGAGCTGTTGCCGACTTTAAATATTCACCAGCTTGATCAGACAGGGAGCAGATATGTTAAAGCAGGACCTGTTATTTTACATAAGAGTAAACACACTGCCAACAACCGAGCGAGCTAGAAAATATTCAACAGCTTATCAAAAAATTGACGCGATGTTGAGAATTCCATGATGAAAAAAATTGCAGGAACTAGACAATTTTGAGCTAATTAGAACTTTTAGAAATTATACTTCGGAGAGGCCTTTTTTATACACACGCATACATTTAAATGTATTAAACAAAAAACGGAAGTCATTGCGGGCATAATGAGGAAATTGTTTCGAGAAATTGAAAAAAAGAAATCAATTTTAAATTTAGTCTAATTTTATAGAAGGTGAAAATGACGAAAGTAATTCTGGAGAAAGCGACAGCATGGCAACATGTAATAATATTTTTTCATAATTATAATATTCATCACTTATAAATGACTAGAAAGCCCCAGATTGTGTAACGAATCGAATAATGCTTTAAATTAAAATGACTAACCAATGAATCTGTGCCCTGTCCAACATTCAACCCTTGATTTCAGTCCCCAATTATCTGTCTCAAATAGATCAACTTTTTTCCCAATGAACTCCTGTGGGACCCTTCATGTCGAATTTTGATGCAGAGATCCTTACAATCTCATTGGTTCTGGAAAACCTCAAGATAAAGATCGAGTTTCTCTAAAGCAGTTATTCTAGTCGATTCCAAAGCAGCCATCCAGGCTGTAATTATAAATCATGACACAGATCATCTCGGAAATAAGACAAATCTTGAACTTTCTTTATAAAGACAACAAAACAATCTTTTTTCAATGGATCACTTCACACGTAGGTATTGACGGTAACGAAAAAGCAGACTCATTAGCCAAGAGATGAACACTTGCTCTACAAGACAGCAAACCACATCCACTTAAAAAGTCACTTAAAAAGCATATTTTTGAGAAATTAATGAATACTCTTAAATCTGACCAGGCAGCAAAAGCAACAGGCAAATCCTGGGCTAGTATTCAAGACACATGGAAAAGTTTTGTCAAAAGCCCCCTAAAGAGACATATTTATATGCCCAGAACTAGATAAAGAGTCTCAGAAATGTGGTGAGAAGTAAACTATATTGGAATGCCAAAGCTTTCACGAACTCCTTGCAAAGACTACATCTCCTTATGTTCCTTTCCTTGTTGTTTAAATTTTTAACTTTTTACACTTTGTTGCCATGTTCCTTTATTCTGATTATATTATTCTTTATAAATGTTTGTTCTTTTTTATTGTTTATCATTGTTCATGTGCGATACTTGAGCTGTTTTATATGCTTGGACTGGTATTTTCAATAAAGCCACATGTAAAAACAACATCTGTCCCTAATAATAATTTTTATATGTTGACAACGGTGTTGAGCGCACCGAGAGGGCTCAACTTTTCGACTGCTCGTCGAGCACACAAAGAGCACAATGTAAACTCGTCGAGCGCACAAAGAAAACAAAAAATTTTTGACTGCTTACTCAAATTGTTTTTGATTACTCTCATTTTCGAAAACATTACTTGTAAACACTGATCAGCTGAGTGCGTCCCCGCCACACCACAATTTTTCTTATTTTCCTCTTTATGAATCATTAACTAAGACGCTGATGTCATTGCTAACGATGAAAATAATAATTAAAGCAACACTAAATAATAATTAAAGTAAACAATAACTAGATTAGACAGATTGTATTTACTAGAATATTAAAAATTCTCTATTTTTAAATACATAAAAATAACACCTTACCTGTTTTCCAAAACAAAAGTTTTAAAACTTAGAATTCCATTTTAAATTACTGCCATCCACAAATTCAAAAGCATAATTAAATGAAACAACTGGATATTTTCTAGTGCTTTCAAATGTTCTGCATATTTTGTTTGTCTGCATATTTTGTTCATCTAAATTTGTAAAAAACATGCCGGAACAGCAAAACAATTAACTCAAATTTAGAACCTTTTCTACAAATCTAAGCAGTAATAACTTTTACAGGTGCTTCTTTTTTTTTTTTTCTTTTTTCTAATATAAAATTTTGGCATTAATTTAAATGCTTGTAATGAAAACACAAACGGCTTACAACGAAATGTTTATTTCTCTTTTGGTAATATTTTTTCTTATCGTCACAGGGAAATATTAAGCGAAAATGTTATAAGTAAAGTAAGAAATATGAAGAAAATATTTTAAAGATATGTTTATTCCTTAAAATATACTAAATCTGCTTTCTTCCAAATAAAAACATTAATTGCACTTTTAAAATTATAATTTCTATAACGCAGATTTTTAAATATTTCTGATAGTAAGAACAAGTGCTTGTGGGGATTATTATATGGGATACCAGACTGGCTGAGAAACGCAAAGAAAGTTTCAGCATCAGTCGCAACAGAATTTTTTTATTAATAAAGTTATCAAAATTCTATTCAACAATCCGCATTAAAGCATTAAATTCTGACATATTTTGCCATAATAACAATTTGACTTCAGAAATTTAGAATTTCCTTTCAAATCTTACATTTATAACTTCCACATACACAACATTAATTTTCCCAACCTTCTTCCATTGAAAAATGTATTTTCGAAAATCAGTTGTAATTGGAAATGAGAGTAATTTGAAAAAGTATTTAATTTAGGAAAAGTTAAAACTCACAGAACAAGCGCAATACTTTAGAAGAAGTCTTCTTTCTAATGAGGTTAAAATGTCAACATGTTTATTAGTCAAAAACAAACTGATTTGCCCCGATATTAATTCAGTACACAAAACGTCAAAAAAGAAATATCAATATGTTTGGCTATTTTTTTCACAGAATGGAAATTCTTTAAATACAAGGCGCTGTTCACACATATACAGTTTGCCTAGAGGAAATGTTTTATATACTCTCAGGATCGAGAACGCTTGAAACTGGAGATTAAACATACTCTGAGTATTCCTTGGACTAATATTTTTGGCTAAATCATATTAACCTTAAGAGTGGAAGGCTAGACTCATATTTTGTAATTTTTCCATTCAGAAAATCTCCAAACTTGGCTGACTTACTTTCCAGTACGACATAATCCAGTCTGAACCTCATCAGCTATCCAAAGAACGTTGTACTTTTCACACAATTGTTTCACGCTTTTCAGATAACCACTGTCAGGTATTACTACTCCAGCTTCTCCTTGAATTGGTTCCACCATGAATGCGCAGACATTTTTGTCTTTCAAACGTTCCTTTAAAAATGAATACAAGTACAATAATATTATCAGATTGACTTGATATATTATAAATTAATACACAATGATAAAAATATTGCGCGTAACATTACTTGACGCTTTTAAGAAACAATGTAAAGGGATAGTTCGTAAATCATTTACAGTGAAAACAAAGTGAATGTTTTATGTATTATTAGTCTCTTTTCTCCTTCTCTTCCCCCCTCCCCTGAAAGCACACACATTGAAGTGGGGAAAACTGACTGCTTGACTTCGGAATACATTGTGGGATTTCGTTCCTAGTTCCCCTCCCCCCCAAAATAGTTTATCTATGGAAATTTAAAGAGCTGATTTCATAGTGCAGACGGCAAAATTTCAGACTGCAGATTTCAACGTAGGTGGCAGATTTAAGAGACTTTCAACAAGTCTGAACAATAGGTGTAGTGAGACGTGCCATAACATTTAGGAAACACAAAATTTGGATTTTTCTGTTTCACTATTTCATGAATGCACCTGTAGCACAAGAAATCTGGTAAAATATCAAACAATAGTAGTGCGCCTGGATAACTAGACCATCATGATACCACAGCTTAACTTGCAACGCAGAGTTCTGCCACTTGCTCGGGAACACCGTCATTTTTTGGGGGGGAGTTACTCAGTTATCACAATAAATGATGTGATCGCGGGACTTCGGCAATTCGATAACTATCCCCTAATGATAACAGCCACCGCAATCGCATTAAGCGGCGTCTTCTGTATGCCATTTCCCATAGCCAGTTACCATAAAAATCTAGATTCTTGCTGCAAGGCAAGGTTTAAAACAACACTTTATTCTCATCTCTCTAAAACTCTTGGAAATAATTCATATGGTAAGAAAATATCCAGTTTTAACACAAATTACAAGGAACCCAAAGTTGTCCACCAGTCCTGCTGCAGCGCGAATGGGTGCTGTACAAATACATGGGTGGGCACCGGCGGTCCGCGGTGCAAATACTTTAAAACTCTTTGGCTGCGGCTGGCTTTTGCTCACTTCTGTGCTACAGTAATCCTGTCGCTTTCAATGGCTTCTCTAACAGTTCCTCATCTAAGATGTCAAAACTTTTAATGCTGCTGGAACTGCATTCTGTGTTGTCAGCAAGTCATTGTCACCATTGCAAATGTCTTCATCCCCTGCCAGTCTGTTTCCCGCGTGCGATAGCCTCCAGAATCATCATGAGCATTAGATATACCCGTTTTCTTGAAGGTCTTTACTATTATTGCTTTATCAATCAGAACCTTCACCCAAAATCAATTAGTAAGGCGAAAACGATCGCGGAAGAATCCACTTTAAAGGGAAGCTTACTTTCTGAATGCCTTGAGAAAAGTATCTTTTAAAAAACAAGATCACCACGATTGAAATTTAAGGGTGAAAGAATCAAATTATTTCCTTTTGATGAAGACGAATTAATTTATAAAAATGATAATTAAAAAATTTTTCAGAAACTTTTTCTAAAATGCTGATTGGAAAAGTACTCTAGATACATTTCGTCCCATAACCGACCCTTTGTTTTTTTCGGGGGGGGGCGGATTTCAGTGCCTTTTGCGAGGAACGTTTTATCAGTAAAAAAAAAAAAAAAAAGAATACCATACGCTTCGCAGTCCCTATCACATCCATCAAAGTCAATACATCTGGCACTGTTAAAGGGGAAAAAAAAAAAAAAAAAAAAAAAGAAACAGGCTCAATGTTAAAAATATTAAGTCTATATTTTTTTCCTAATTAATATCGTTCCCATTAAAAATAAAACACAGTTTTACCATCAAGTGCAATATTAATATTGGCTATATTGCAGTCGATAATCAACATTAAATTCTGTATTCGCTTGCCATATTTTTGGTCAAGATAATGAGCCCAGAAACTCTGAAAGGTTGAACATCCATTTCATGAAACGTATATTTAGATTTGAAGACTTATCTTCAGAAGATTTCTAGGAATGTCTAGGAATGCGTCACGTCACACTGGTCGGGAAATACTGGTGCGAAGTACGTAAATGTTGTTTGATTAACATGTGAAGGACGCAAGTGGATTCATCATGTAAGATGACAGACTACAGTAAAAAAACAGAGCCCGTACTTTTAAAGTTTGCTTACGGTGTTGGAAGCTAATAGTAAATATCTAAACAAAATTACGTTTTTGTCTAATGGTAATTTAACTATTCTTTTCGCGGCGAAATTAACTCTTACCTCTAAAGCGTTCAAGTCATTGTAAGGCACTATTTCAAAGCCAGGCATGAAAGGTCCAAAGCCACTATAACTGGTTGGATCAGTCGAACTGGAAATAGCGGCTAAAGTTCGTCCCCAAAAGTTTCCTTCAGCAAAAACAATTTTAGCCTTGTTTTTCTCGATACCTTTCACTTCATAACCCCATTTTCTTGCCAATTTGCATGCCGTTTCACCAGCTTCCACACCTAGAAAAGGATGGCATATACCTGAACTCTCGCACGAAATATAAATGGAATTTTGTAATTAAATAATAAGTGCCTTAAATACAAGCATAGTATTAAAGATTATTGAAATGATGGCAGGACCTTCAATATTAATATATGTCGGGAGCAGTGTATCTCTTCCGATCTAACTTTTGCATCACATTCCACACTATGCATTAATTATAAAACTTAATTTAAATATCCAGAGTACTGTAAAGCTAAATTACAAAATTTTATCTAGGTGGAATGGAAACAGTTCTAGGAACTGGATATTGATAGGTCGCGTGGATGACTATCTAAAAGCGTAGGACTCTCGTTCAGGATGCTATAAAATATACATTCAATTTGGGTTTCCTAGAAAGTGTTTAATACTTTATATATATAGTAGTAAAATGGAGTAAATTACCCTGCCAAGGTTTGTTTTAAATTCAGTGGTAAAGATCACCTTTTAAAAGATGGCATCATTCCTGCATTCTAATTCAGGAAAGAAAATTAAACATTTTTGGCGTTGTATTTGGTATGCATTACAGCAAAATTGGTTCTTGAAATCTGAAGTGTTACGGTTTTTGTTTACATATTAGATAATTAGTATCTAAGCTAGGCCAGTGAAGTAGCTAGTTTATCTCCGTTGTTACAAAAATTTAATTTTGATTTTTTTCTCCACTTTTTAAACGTTTAAACTGCAAGAAAATTATTTTAAGACATCTTAAGAGCAAAGTTAAAATCTGAAAAATTAAATTTCAAATTATTTTTAATATACTGTTTTACGCTGAAAGAAGTAAATTTTCATATTCTCAAAGTTAAGGTATCACGTACTGTAAATAAACAAAAAATCGACTGTTCATGATTTTATATTAAAATTCCATTTCTTACAAGTACTTTAAATCAAACCCTGTGTCAAAATTCGCTTGAGAACCTAAGTGATCATGAAAAGATTAAACGATTTTTATCATTTGAAGAACCAGATGGTTTGTTTACATCTACTGTTCGCCCACCAGTGGCTCAGCGGTAAAATCACTGAACACTAGTAGTTCTGATTTAGGTTCGATTCCAGACGAAAGGGCTGGCTGCAGGATTTTTGTAGTGTTTCCCCTTATATAACGTGCTCCCTATAAGTAACTGGGGGTGTGCCAGCATCCCTCACCATAGGCAGGTAGCCCTAGTGTGCTTTGCCATAATCAATCAACCAACCAACCAACCATTTGCTCATCAGCAAATTCTTCAGCTTCCCCATGAACTGTATACAAAATGCTTCTGTATACAGTTTTATGCGAATGATAGCAATCATGGCAAAATTTAACTTAGTAACGCATTTTAGCTACATATTATTCATTTAAAGAATTTAAATGAACTTGCAAGATTTCTAGGAAGTTTCATTTTTCAATTAAGATTTAATAAAAATGTGATGCCCCTGTTTGCCAGTATAATTATGTTTTGGTCGATTTAGAATTTTAAGAAATTTTGATTAATTGTATAAACACTGTATTTATATAAAATGGTGAATTATTGTGCACCAAACAGAAACTTTTGGAACCATAAATTTCAAATCATGAAAACTTCCACTCGTCGTTTTCATTGTCTCAATTATGATCGTTCACGTGTAAATGCAGTTTGAATACATAATTAATCCATATGTACAAACTAGCTTGTAAATATACTTCTGTTTCTTTATAAATTGTTTGCGAGTATAATTGCTCCGAAACTTTGGTCATCTTTCTCTTTGGTCAAAATCTTTTGAAAGATTTTATAAACCTTACCTATTAAATTATTAAATTTTCAGAAATTACCTTTAGTTTTATTCTGAGGGAAAAAAAAAACTCCATTTTGGAGTCTCAAAAAAATTAAATAAGTATAATTCGATTATTTTTCAAAATACGTCAGTTTAATTATACATTAATTTGGGAACAATTACAGCTGAAATTAGTGATTCATTCTTTGTTGACGCTACGCGCAGTGTGCATTACAATTTTATAATGACGAAGACAGTATTTTAATATGTATTTGATTTAAAATCTGGGAAATATAATAAATTAACAAACACAATATTCAGAATAATCTAAATAAGCATTCGAAATTTCACGATCATAAGCCACGTTGTTTTAAATTGTGTTAAATTTCTGACATTTTAAAAATGCGCGACCTCTTAAAAACAACAGATTAAAAACTGAATATGTATTTAAATATATTTTATTTATTATAATATATTTTATTTATTATAAGCCAAATCTTTCACCTAGTTCTTGCTACAGGAAGTATCTTATAATGTGTTAATTAGTGTGTGTGTATTTAATTATGGCAAAGCACACGAGGGCTATCTGCCTAAGGGGAGGGATGCCTTTCGTGGAGGACTTTCTAAGGGAAACTGGCTCGTATACACGTTACACATGGGGAAAACCACGAAAACGCCTATGCAGCCAGCCCGTTCGCGGGATTCGAACCTCGGACCGAACTACCAGTGTTCAGCGACTTTACCGCTCGGCCGCTGGTGGGCAATGTGTTAATTAGAAGCTCAAATCATTAATCAGTCAGCCAATCAGAGAAGAAATTGACGGAAAACAGCAGTAGCCTTTTTAGAAGAAATCAGACCTAAAATTAAACTACCAGCTTAATGCTGTCGGCTATCCGGACGGTATGGGTTTTAAGCAAGAGAGAGACTGTTATATTCCGGTTTTTTTTATTAGTCCAAAGGGGCTTTGTCCCCGAGGGACTATTGTTTTCCGTTTTGCAATTTTACGTTGAATCTCTCTGAATGTCCGTTTCACTTTTTAAACTTTTGCCACCAAATATTATCGCCCTGTATTATATTTGAAGAAATTAAATAATGAAGAATCTGCATAAACGTATGTATGTTTTTCGCATTGTAATAAAACAATGGTACCTAGAGCCATCCAATTTTAAATGACGTAATCCTACTGCGATTATGGGCACCTGGTGGCCCAAATTTGAAATTTGTCTTATAATCGATTTAATATTTTTTATAACTAACGAATTTTTTATTAACAAACTCAAGGAATTCAAAGCGAGCAAATGGCAACGTTGTACAGAAAGAACATTTTTATCTCCAGCGCGCGAGATTGTGTATCGGAAATTCTCAAGATATTCTCAATTTAAGATTATTTTGCGATATTGTCCTTGAACTGAATTTTATGGTTTAAGTGCAAAGAACATTATATTTAATAAATAAAGATAACACACAAAATGTTAAAAAAACGCCCCTTTGGACGTAATTTAAAATCTGAAAACATTCAGATTTATTTATTTTTTTAAATTTTATTTTTAAAGCTCAAACGGGGTATTAGTCTCTAAATCGGATTTTGTGACGAATCGCTATACACGAGTCGTTTCACTTTTCATTCGAGTCTGTGGCCATTTGGCAGTATGTAAAATATTTATCCTTCAAATCGAATCTGTCTGTGTCGGTGAATAAATTAAGCTACCTGAAAGCAATAATTGCAGTTCGTTAAAATATTCGTTTCTTACTCTGGAATCGGATTGATTTAAATAATGAAAATGCTTTTAATTCATGATCTATTCAATTAAAAATGCTCAATATTTTCATAGATTGACATTACATATTTTTTTAGTCCAAAAGGCATGTTAGTCCTGAACGGGATATTGGTCTCGAAACGGCATGTGTTGAATCACTATAAACGGCGTATCACTTTTTATATTTTTATTAGCAAATGTTATTGCCCTGTATTATATTTAAAAGAATTAAATAATGAAGAATCTGCATGAATGTATGCATTTTTCTCGTCCTGTGAAAAAACAGTACCTAGAGACTTAAGAATTTTGAATAACGCAGTCCTTCATCCAAACGTGTGTACCTGGAAGCCCGAATTTTGATTTCGAATCTATTTCATATTTTGTAAAACTTTAACGAATTTTTGATTAACAAAGCCAACGATTTTAAAGCGAGCAATGGCAACACTGAATTTTATTTCCAGCGCGTGAGACTGTCTATCGGGAATTCTAAAAATACGTTATTTTAAAATAATTTGTGATTTTATTGTTGAATCGAACTTTTATGCAGCGCCAAGAACGTGATATTTAAGTATAAAGTAAAAACACAAAACATTATTAATAAAAAGACAAAAAAAGGAGGGGGGACAGACAAGTGTATGAAAACACTTAATCGAGAATTGGGAATTCTAAATGTATGCCGAGTTTAAAATTTTTGTAATTTTTGTAATTGAATTGCATATGGTGTAAGTGCGAAGAGAATGATGCTTAATAATAAAGCTAAAATGAGGAAAAAAATTGTTAGCAGGGGTTGAGCGAAATAGCAGCCTGTGAGCCCAGCGCGACCGTAAAAAACCTCAACAAACACTTCTAGGCAGCCGTAAAAATCTAAAACCTTTCCGAACTTTTTTTAAGCAGCAGAAAAGGTGCTATTAGTATCAAAACACACTTTTTCTCCGTATCACTTTTGTGTCCAAATCACTTTTAAAGTTCTTGACACCAAATATTATCACGAAGTATTATTTAAAAGAAAAAATTAAATAATGAAAAATCTGTATGTATATGTTACCGTGAAAGACCGAAATTGGAGATTTCGACTTTCACCGGAGAACCTCAACATTCACTAAACACATCGGTGAAAGATCGAATATTGCATTACATTCTTGTACATTCGGACCCTCACCGGTGTATGTCGACAATCACAGGTATGCTCTGGTGTAGGTCGAAAAGAGAGGAGTGTATGTACACGCTATCATTGCAAAAGGAAGTGTTCCACAAATAAATGCAATTGTAAAAGCAAGGGCCTCTTGTGCAATTGAAAGTGTCATAAGAGTTTAAGTTGTTGCAATACATAAGATTTGAATCACGTAATTTAGTAAGTTTTTAATTTCTATATTTTCCTTTCTCATTTTGAATGTACTGCGTGTTTTAAGTTCTTGTGTTCTTAAATTCTTATTTTAAGTCTCAAGTGCGTTTTTTCGCGATTGAATTACTGAAAAGGTACAAATTCACAAAAACAAATACTCATAGGTACAAAATTCTATTAAAACGATTCATAGAAAATAATGAAACTTTCATAACTAGCTATTTGCATGCAATAATAAAATCGTTTAAGAAATCATAAAAATTCTTATCTTACCAGTATTCATTGGAAGAACTTTGTCATAACCAAATTTCTTTGTGATATACTCCTCGTATTCTCCGAGCACTGATGTGTAGAACGCTCTTGAGGTAAGAGTGACAACATCCGATTGCGCATGAAGAGCTTCAAGAATTTTTGGATGGCAATGGCCTTGATTGACAGCACTATAGGCACTTAAGAAATCAAAATAATGTTTGCCTTCTACATCCCACACAGAAACGCCTGAGGAAAGTAAAATGACTGAATTAAAATAAAATGTTTAACAAGAAACTATTATTTAACAAGAAAATTAGACACATCTGTTAGGAAGTAAGGAAAAATTTTATTTTCAGAGGGGGTATCAAACTTTTTTTTTTTTTTTGGTAATAACAGGAAGTAATCGATGGTCCTCTTGTTTTGTATTACAGCAGAAAGCAATTGAAACCATAAACCTTTTTACTTCCTTGTACGAAGTAAAAAGGAAGTATTGTAATCGCGAAAAGTTTCAGGCAGCATATTTCAACGAAAATATCCATTTTGATCGCTATCGAATGCAATTTAACGATGTTTTTGCATGATATCTGTACGTAAGGACAGAATAAAATACTCTTTTCCTTCAAAAAATTATAAAACTGCTTTAAAAGGAATTCTGAAGAGAATTTTTCGTGGCGTCTGTACGAACGTATGTACGTACGTTACGTACGCATCTCTATAACTCAAAACAAGTAGCCTCAGAACGTTGAAATTTTGTATATAGACTGCTGTAACATGTAGATGTGCCCTGTATTGTTGCAATCGGTCGCACAACGTATTAAAATATATTATATATATCCGTCTGTTACCCGGCAGTGATCTCAATTTTACTCTTATATTTATAAATTGTACATTTTTGCTTTAAAAATATTGTATTACGTTGTTTTTCTTCCGGGTAGGTTTTTATGCCTTTAGTAAATTGTATGCATATTTTAGAATTATCAACAATTTTGAAGTTTCTAAGTGCCGCTAAGCCTTTTTTTGTAATGGCGGCCATTGATGTTTACATTTGAAACAGAGATAGTGATTTGTTGCCAATCTAGAGAAATTAGTTCGCAACAACAAAGATAACGCATTCATATTATTGCCAATTAATCATGCTTAATTCTTCTGAAATTTTTCGAGGAAAGAGGGTTTAAGATTTACTTCGTAATTTAATATAGATTTTTGAGTTTTTATGTATTTTTGCCTTCTCGCGAAGTGAGACTGAATTAATTAAATGAGAAAACTCAAGTCGTGGTGAAAAACTGTTTCTTTTTGTTTGTTTGCTTAATTTCTTTTTACATCATTATAGCTTTATTATAGTATTGATAGAACAGTGGCAACGATTAGAAATTCTATTCTTTAAATGATATAAATTTTGTGCATTATGAGTATAATATGAACGAAAATATAAGTTAACTGTTATATAATTTGGATTAAGAACAGTTAATTTAGTTTCCGTTATAAATTATTATAAGTTAAATTTATATAATTATTAATATGTTAAGTGAATCTAGCGCGTATCGCTATGGTAAACAAATATAGAGGAATTTTAAAGAATGCATTTATTCTATTTGGTTTATGCGCTGTCGGCGAAGTAGATTTACTTCAATCCAATAAGTTTAAATGAAATGCAAGAAAAAATGCGTATAATTTAATATTCCGTACAAGGAAGTCATGTGGTGTACACATCAGATTTTTTTTATTATGTGGTTGAGGTACATCTAAAATTGCTGAATACCAAAGGTCATCGTTTCAAATAATGATTGCTTAAAGCAAAGCAGAACGAAATATGCGAGTGTTGTACATGTAACGTTAGTTACCACTTATCTGTCAAGTTCCTCCACTAGAAATATTTATGAAACTATTACATAATTGTCTTCCAGATTTTATAGACAAATTCATACATTTTAATTAGTATTTAAATAGAAATTATTTATAAAATCATGTTTGAATAAAAATATTGTAAACAGACGTTTGAGGAAACTTATTTCCACTATTTAAAAAAAAATTCAAAATAAATTTAAAGCTCAAAACAATTCCCTGGAAGTTACTTAATTGCAGTTTTGAGATTAGGTTCCTGAATAAGCAGCACAGAAAAAGCTATTAATGAAAGAATACGAAGAAGTGGGAACTTCTGAAAAGGAACATGAAAGAAAAAAAAAAGAATTTTTTACTTCATAACAATTCAATTCCTACTCCAATAGCTGAAAAAAATATTACAGACTCAAAAATCTAGCAAAATTCGAAGTTTAACCAATTTAATGAACTATGTGGAAACATTGAAATTTGCTTAAGAGGAGAAATGGTTTCATCAAGGACTTTTTAAAGGTTGATTAGTTAATTTATTAAGCAGGTAACATTCTTAGGAAGTATGCCTTTATGAAGGAAATGGGTGGTTTTTATGTTGCGCATGACGAAAAACCCCATAAATCTTGTTCAAACTTCTTATCGATTCGATCACTGGATGGGCTCGACTTTCAGAGGGCAATCGACTCCTATGCTTTTCTCAATTTTAAATTATTTACAAGCATTAACATGAAATTTAAAGACTTGGCATCTGAAACAGCAAACATAATCATGTCAAACTTTGTTAGTTAAACCCTCAGGGTAGATCACATAACAAAGTGTTGGCAATACAAGTCTCTGAAAATTATAATACAGAACATATTCCTATCCCATGTCCTAGACCATATTTAAAAGTATCCCATGATAGTTTAAGTAAAAAGCAAGAGTGGAATATTTGCGAAGAGAAAGATGTGTATTCAAGTCATAAAAATTTGTATAAAATTGAAAATTTTTGATACCGCAATTATCAAGACGTAACAGGACATGATCCCATTTGCGGACTTTTACTATAAACATGTATTTACTAGATCATTGTGTCTATTTAGGCACAGAATCACCAGATTATTAAATAATGCAATTTTCCAACCAGCTAAAAAAATATGGATACAATATACATCTATTTATAAAGACCATGAACAGCAATTTCTTTTTATGGGCATAAGCTGTAAATGTTTACTATTAAGACTTTACAGCTTTTATGATTTTATGAATAGCATTACAATGTTTATGAATGTTTCATCGAACTTTATGGAAACCTTGAAATATGGATTTATTGAATTCTATTTTTAATAGTACTTTTTTCTATTTTACTTTTTCCCCCATTTCATAAATATATATGCAAGAAAAATAAAGAATATGTAAAAGAAATTTTAATTTAAATTAGCAGTGTAAATTATTTTCCCTACTCTGTTCTAAAAATAGTAATCTCTCTTTGCACTGCATCATTTCAAGACTAATCCATGTCGCATGACTCGTAATTCTGATGATGTAAATGCAACTAAAACTTAAACAGTCTATAATAATTTCACAGCAGTTTTAAATTAAACGAAAACTCAGTCTTCATCCTAAACATAATGCGCTCGCTCGCTACTCTTCGGCCTAGCTGGACTGCTATCTGCTGCTTACTGCAAAGTTATCAAAAATGTAAACCTCTTGAAATAGGAACAAATAATGTGCCAAGTTATTTGTGGCCGCAACATGTTTACTCAAAATAGAATGAAGATTTAATATGCCTCGGCTGTCAGTTTCTTATTCATTATTGAATCGGCATTCTACGCATTAAAAATTTTTGATCTTCATTTACGGATTCAACCTTATACATTCTACACTATCAATATTGCAGATCATTACATATATTTTTCAAAATTTTTCTTTATGCACTGGAATTTGACAAATATATAAAATGCCATGTATTTTAATAAATTTAAATACTTGTGAAATTATAATTCTGATGATTTGAAATTATGAAGAATTTCGCGACATATCACCTAAGTCTTACATTTTGCTTTACTATTACATTTTGCGGTTCGTTATAGCAAAAGTAAATAATAATGTGTATACAAAAAACTGGATGGGACTTAAATAGCTCGTTCGTTATATCCGGGAGTTTGCATTAGCTGGATTATGTGTGCATTCGGTGCATGTAATTTTCGAATGTCACTTGATAGCATTTACAACACGTAAAATACAATTTTAACGTTTTTAAAGTATTGAAGCATTTTTGATGCTATCAGTAAAAAGTACGGTATTGCGTCATAAAATTAACATTTTTCTTGGATCTCGGATCTATCCTTTTAAATCTTTTCTTGAAGCTTATCTAATCGCAAGTAGTTGTGATATTATTCAAAGAATTTTCATTGCGCGATTCGACAAAAGCATGCACTTGGCAAAGTTCACACACCTAGGATAATTATCTCATATCGTACGATACTATCATATTACTATATTTTGATATAAATTTGTTTCGAAATTGTTATCGAACAGAAGAAGGTCGAGGATAAGATAGTAGAATCGTACGCGACAAGGGTAACACTCGTATTTGGTAAGTGGTTCCTGGAAGAAAAAAAACCATGTTAACAACCTGTTCATTTTAATTCGATAGCAAAGTGATAGGCTATAAAATTATACCAGATACTTAAATGGTTGACTAGAAACTGTGCAAACATTAGAAATTATATAGTGCCTTATAAAACGTGTAATTTTTAGCTCGCCATTTCCTGAATTTAGCGTATACTTATCTAAAGCGGTAGGCAATCAAATCTGAAAACGATATCTTAATATACTTATGGAAAATGAAATCCCAACGTAAAGAAGGAATTATGATAAGATGTGCGTACGAGTTCGTAATAGATTCAATGCACAGAGGGCCGATGATGTGTGGATAAATTTTATTTTTTGAAAGGAAACACTTCACAGTTCTGGAAGTTTCCACAAAAACAGTCGTAAACTCTTCACAGTATCACAGAGTACAATCAGTAGCAACATTTCAAACTGCTAAGAACGTTAAACGCAACGCAATGCAATGCAAAGCTCATAAAGAGCAAAGTTAACCCGGAGATATCTCAGTACTCCGAACTCAAGCTGAACTAGCAACTGACAGCAGATGCTGTCTCCGGTCTTGCATAATTTTCACCCGGCCGCGGAAATATTTCTAGTACTTTCTGCTTCTCGATATCGCCGGAAGACATATGACGGCCGAATACGTTTACAGTTTAAAAAAGCACCAATTCCAGTTTTTTAATTACAATATCCGTTACAGTTATACAGGGACAGGACCAAAATGTCGCCAAATTTGGTTAAAAAATTAGTCGCCAAAACCGTTGCCAGCTTGGCGATATTTCGCCAAATTAGCGAGATAACTATTTACTCATTGCTACATA